TAACGCTATACTCCGTTTCACCTTCAGTCCGAGCGCAGCGGACGCTAGGAGCAATGCCAGCCAATCCAGCGTTGAGAGAGTGTCATCTGACCTTGAGCTCTCTGTGTCGCTCTGCCCAACCGGCGGGTCACGCGATTTTCTCCCGGCGCTGATCGGCTGGGATAGCTCGTGGCGTCCACTGCGCTCGGACTGAAGGTGGAACGGAGTATAGCCACAGCCTATTTATTAGGGAATTGTAGTAGACCGTTTCGGCAGCCCGCTAAGCACCCGGATAGCGCTCCGTAATCCGCCAGAAGACCTTGAACTATGCAGAGAAGGCTGGCGGCGCGCATGCGCAGCTGCGGCGGTTTCTTCGGGGATACCGTAGCGGAGGAGAAAAACGATCTACTACAACTCCCTATTATTAGGGTGTTTTAGCAGATTGTGTTTCCCCCTCCGCTAGCCCTCCGCAACGAAAAAACCGCCACTGCGCCTGCGCGCCGATAGCCTTGGCTGTAGAGTTCCGGGTAGCGGAGGTGCTTAGCGGAGCGTGAAACACGGTCTACTAAAAGTCGCTATTAGAGAGTTTTAGGGAACCGTTTTTGCACATCCGATACGGTCGATGGGCCCTCCGGTACGAACTGCGCATGCGCCTGTCTTCTGCGATTTTACCGTAATGCGCTGGTGGAACCGTAAGGCACGACCGGCACGGCCAATGGCCGACATGGACAGTCTCGCTTGGTGAGCAAAACGGCTCTTTCGCTGGCGGAGGGAGCGTGCCGTGGCTCCAAACATGAAGAAAATAACTCGCGGCAGTGCCTGGCAGGAGCGCCATGTGTGACAGCAAATCAATAAAGTTTGAGTAAGGAAATAAGAAGAAGAATAAAAACCAAAACGCAATTCGACTTCTTTAATTGAAATAAATTAGTGTTTAGTGCAGCCGTAAGTCGTCTGCTCGGTAGCTCAGTGGATTGGAGCGCCGATTAGCTGAACTCGAGGTGGAGCGGCAGTGGAGAGTTCGAATCCGGTGGCCCAAAATTTTTTTTTTTTTTTTTTTTTTTTTTTTTTTTTTTTTACATTTTATCAATTGTTTTTTTTTTTTTTTTTTTACAAATATCGGAAGTGCATTTCGAGCACTTATCACCCGTTTTTTACAGCTGCTGTTATGACTGAGGATTTTCTGTAGCGGCAACAGAGTGAGCAACAGCCTTCTGCATCATGGCTCTGGATACCTTTTAGTTTAAAAATGCTGCATGAATTAAAAATTTCTGTACAAATGCTAATCACATATCCTATAAAACGAGCCCTTTGAATATTGGGTGATAGTTTTAATAGGTGCACAGCAGTAAAGTTACAGGTTTTGCTTTATATTTGCTTCGTGGTCGTACCGTACACGGCGCAACGATCGGTACGCGGGCGTACGACCGTGATCGTCTGCTCTCTGTACCGTAAGATAGCAACATGAGCGCCGCATCTACCTCCGTCCCTCCGCCTCCTCCTCGCAAGCGGTTTACAGCAGAATACATCTTTCTACTTCGGGAGGTGCTAGGCGCTACTCCTTTTTCCCTCCAGCCCTTTGGAATGACGTGGCGTTGAAAAAGAACTTCTCGTTGCGAGGAGCGAAGGAATGGATTGACCTCCTCGTAAATAAAAAATAGAGATTTGAGACGTACTGTAAGACACGTCATTCCAAAAATATACACACTGTATGGAAATAAATACAGAAATCATTACATTCCTTCCTTATTTAACGAACTCCCAGAGTCCCTTATGAATATAGAATCCACTAGGGTACTAAAAAGGAAACTAAGGAATAGGTGTCAAGCATCTGAGCTGTAGATATCGTAGCCTAACCGTTGGAGATATTTCGTACTTTTATTTCATGGTTGCGTGAGTAGACTTGGCTATAAACACCTATATTTGATGCTCTAAAGTTTTCCT